GGCAGGGTGTGAACCTCCAAGAGCTGGGCATCGAGGGTCTCCGCAATAGGCGAGCCCTAACCGGGGCCCTGGTGTTGGAGATACCGGGCCCCGACAGGGAGGAGAAAGCCAGGAGGCTGGCGGCCTCGTTGACCACCGTCCTGGCAGGAAAGGAAGGGGTCAAGGTCTCAGTGCCCGGCCGTACGGCCGAACTCAGGGTACGGGACCTTGACGACTCGGTCACCTGCAACGAGGTGGCCGAGGCGGTGGCGGCGCTGGGAGAATGCTCCCCCAGCGAACTGGCCGTGGGGGCCATCAGGCTGGCTCCCAACGGCCTGGGCACCGCCTGGGTGCGCTGTCCCCTCAAGACAGCCCGGGCGGTGGCCAAGATCGGCAGGGTGAAGGTGGGGTGGGCCAAGTGCCGGGTGGAGGTCCTCCCGGCGCGGCCCCTCCAATGCTTCAGGTGCCACGAAACCGGGCACGTGAGGGCCGCGTGCAGCAGCCAGGTGGACCGAAGTGGCTGCTGCTACAAGTGCGGCAAGCCCGGTCACCTGGCGAGCGGCTGCGGGGAGGAGAAGCCGGATTGCCCGGTATGTCGGGCTGCGGGGAAACCCGCCGCCCACCGGGCCGGCAGCAAGGCCTGCCCGGCTGGCGGGCGACCCGGGGCCAAGCGTGGCCCTGCGCCGGTTAGGCCGTCCACGGGGGCCGGACGGGGCCCCACGCCGGTCGGGCCGACTGCAGAGGCTGCTCCTCCCGCTGGAGGAAGGGCGGCCGCGGTTGCGGACCCACCCCCCCCGGTGGAATCTATGGAGGTGGCCCTGGAGGACGGGCGTGCGGACGACTAAAATGTCTCGCGCCATCACCGTTCTCCAGGCCAATTGCAACCACTCCCGCGGGGCTCAGGACATGTTTGTCCAGAGCCTGGCGGAGTGTGATGCAGGGCTGGGCATTGTCGCGGAGCCATATAGACCGCCCGTTGGTGACCCTCGTTGGTTTGCCAACGGGCGGGGCTCCGTGGCGGTCGTATGGAGACCCGCTGGCGGCCGCCCGTCCTGCCGACCGCTCGCGAGCGGGGCGGGATTTTGTGGCGGTCGAGTGGGGGCCCATCGACGTGTTCGGGTGCTACCTTCCCCCGAGCTGGGCGTTGCCCTGGTACGAACAGGCCTTGGAGGAGCTGGGGCGAGCCGTGGCACGAA